AATGTGTTTCTAATCATGGGTACATTGATTGTGACGTGGTTCGAGATATGTTTTCACGACGTTGCAATTCTTGTAAAATAATAATAACGACAAAAGCGGTTAAAAGTTAAAATTTGCACATATGTTCAATTTGTATAAAATCAGATAATCAAGCCGAATACAACAGTTGAGCGACCGTGCTAGAACCACGGAATTCGGGAATGCCTAACACCTTCTCCCGGGTTAACAGAATTCCTTATCCGGATTTCTGGTACGCAGACTATAATATAGAGTCATTCTTTTCCTCGATTCGGGACTAAAATTGGTGACTTGGGACACCCTAAATCTCCCAAGTGGTGACTCTGAAATAATTAAACCAATCCTGTTTCGATTGTCCTTTAATTGGAAAAAACTCCCTTGCGCCCTCACGGGTACGTAAAAAGGAGGTGTGACAACCATGAGCTCATGTAAACATCTTTGTTATATATAAAAGTGGTCCAGGATAGGAGAGAAGTTTTATTGTATGATTCACACAACTGACATTAGCTCTGTGAGACTCCTTTTTGTCTTACAAATTAGTGGATCCCAATCTTATATTTTTGGGTCCACAGAAATCTGGATCCACAAAATTGTGAGACAAATTTTTTTTTCGTATAAATAGTATCAGTTGTATGAGACACAAAATAAAATTTCCAGGATAGGATATGGGAGACTTAGAGGAGTATCTCTACTACTGTTACTCTGTTCGCCTATATACATACTCCCTCCATTTCATATTAAATGAGATACTTTTCTTTTTAGTTTGTTCCAAAACAAATGACACATTTTTAAATTTGAAAATAATTCAACTTTAAACTCTTTCATTTTACTCATTTACTCTTAATGATAAGCTTTTATAGACACACAAATATTATGACCCCACAAACTTTTTACCCCTTAAACTTTTAAGACCACAAGTTTCAAAACTCTTCTTCTTTTTCCTAAAACTTCGTGTCGAGTCAAACTACTTCATTTAATATGAAACGGAGGAAGTATATAACGTCTGTAAAGTTACTAAGATTACAGTTTCTGACACTATAAGGACACTGGATCATTTGTTTCACATTAGGTGACCTATTTATCGTATTGAATATAGGAATCACTACACATCTCATCCAGTGAGAGTACAAGCTGGAGAGGCTCTCTCTATAAAGAGGCCGAGATAGTAGAGTTGCAGGATCTAGTTTAGTGATGTGAGATTAATTAAATTAAGGGGGAAGGAAGGAAGGACGGATATTGGAATTTGGATAGTACACAAGTCAATTTCTTGGTTATAGGGAATGGACCTAGTTTCTGTAGCATAGGGCGTGTTGCGCCAGCTGTAGGATTGTTGAATCTTTCTCCGCCATGTTTGATCTTTTTCGAGGATTCAAAAAGAGCTAGACATCAACTACCCTTATATATCAACTCATCATGCAAATCTCTTCTTTCTCTAACTTTGCTTTCTTCTTCATGCCCAATTTTCTCCCTTTAAATGTCATTTAATTTGTACTTTCTATTTTTTGACTTTCTTTCTTGTTTTTCATTTTTTCATAAAGAGTACTTGCTCTATCGCAGTTTTATGTGAACCTATTTTCTGTTTGGTCCGTTAAAAAAAGAACGATCTTTTTCTAAATTTAGTAACAATTTAACTTAAACTTATAATTTTACCCTTAATAAAAAGATTTTATAACCACATAAATATTTTGGACTTTTTTCTGACTTGTTTAGGACAACGAATTTTAAAAATCTTTATTTTATTGGAACGGAGGGAGCAGTAACCTGGTAACTTACTGTCCAGATGTCAATGTTGTTTTAACTCAAACATGAATAGTTAATTATTTTAAATTACTCAAGCTGATGATGTCCGTAAAACTCGTCTATTTTAGAACGACAGTAATCAGTTGACTCTTGTATGATTGGTTAAATAATTAGCTATGTAAAAGCTAGTCCTCGATGGGCTAAAGACCTTCAGACTTTTGGAGTACTTAACACCTAAGTGATGCATAATTGGTGCAGTTTATAATTAAACAAGTTTCTAATTCTAGTGTAGTGGTTTTGAATTGAAGCAACACGTGCTTTTCTTGGACCATTGTCACGTGGATTCCTAATTTCTCCAATGAGTGTGGGCTTATGTTACGAAATGATGCAACAAAAATATATCAAGAAATTTTTTTTCTTTATATTTACAGTTGTCATCATGTACTATATATCTCTATCCTAGATTAAAGGACAGAAGTTTTCTTGAATTTGTTTGACAATATTATATTCTAACAATTTAAGGAGTGAAAACCACATCCCACTAGATATGTTGAGAGGACAACTAGAGTTTTGAGCAGGATTGCATGATTCAAGAATCGACAATAGTGTCTTTGGAAGATACTTGAAGCAAATGTTGAGAAAATATGTACATAGATTTGTTTTAAAATTAAACGGAGTGCAAAATATGGGGTACATTATATTAGAAAGAGAATCATTCGTCAACGGACTGAAATTCCAAATTGGGGACTAAGTATACTCTCTACCTTTCAATTTAGATGATGTAATTTGATTTGACACAAAATTTGAGGGGAAAAAAAAAGTTTTTTGAAATATGTGATCCTAAAAGTTTAAGAGCAAAATTTTTGTCGGACCATAATATTTTTACGGCTATAAAAACTTATTATTAAAGGTAAAGTGAATAAAATAAAAGGTTTAAAATTAAATTATTCAAATATAAAAATATTTCATTCTTTTTAAAACACACTAGGATGAAAAAGATATAACATGGTATTATCATTTGGTAATATGATAGTGAGAACAAGAGATTAATGAAAGTTTTAATGTGCTATGAAGGAGTTCCTAGCATATTGGATGGCATGTGCGATGTCCCATGTGCTGATGCGCATTGTATATTTAGTGGTCGAAAAAATTATAATCGGTTCCATAATTTTTAAGAAAAATAATTGTTTACAAAAATGTTCTTCATATTTCTAGCTTTAAGAGACTTTAAGGACAATTTTATCTTTAACCATACTAATGTATGCATTAATAGTCTTGATATTATTAATGCTATGGTTTTCTATACATTACTTATACATAGGATAACACCAAGTATAATTTATAACTAATATATACTCCTCCGATCCACAATAAGTGATTTTTGTCATTTTTTATGGTCCAAAATAAGTGATTTTTTCAGATTTCAAGAATGAATTAATTATTTTTTTTCCTACATTGCCCTTGGAGTAAATAGTATTGGAGTATGTGTTAGGAGTGTTTATGTGAGATAGTAAATGTTAATATGATCAATTTTATTGCTAATTAATATTAAAAGGTAGATTCCTTAATCTGTATGAAAACGACCAAAAAATCACTTATTTTGGATCGGAGGGAGTATCAAATAAGATATTAATAATGCATAGAGCTAATACTTGTATTATTTTTTCTTATACCTCGTACCAAACAATCCCTTACGGTTTTATGTCATAGATTAAGAAGGGGGTACGGAACTAGATGCGAATTGAAAATCAAATTGATATAATACTTCATAACACTGTAAGACTCGTTCTGAGAAACAACACATAATGCTTCAGAATCAGATTGACCTGTCAGATATCCTCATCCATCTATAAGGTCCAATCAAATAGTAGAGATTTAGTACTTTGAAAGAAAAAAAAGAACTTTTCGATTTTCAAACATAGAAGTAGAATTCTCCCAGAATTGGTGACAGCCTAACCACTACCTTTTTTACTAAATCAAGAAAAGTTCATTAAGCTAAACGAATTCTGTGCCGATAATGTGATGAACATTTATTGATTGATGTGGTTGTTGACAGGTGTGCAGTGAATGGTTACGTAGAAGCAGTTAGGGAGTCGGCATGTGAGATATTGGAGCTGATGGCAGAAGGATTAAGGGTCCCAGACACCTCAGTGTTGAGCAATTTCCTTAGGGACTATGATTGTGACGCTCTCCTCAGGCTCAATCACTATCCCCCTTTGCCCCCACTCCAACTTCTCAACACGTCTCCTAACCAACCACCATCCAGTATTGGTTTTGGAGAGCATACTGACCCTCATATCTTGACCATCTTGAGATCCAACGACGTTGCTGGCCTTCAAATCTCACCTCAAGACGGTTTGTGGGTCCCTGTCTCCCCTCACCCTTCTACTGCCTTCTGCGTCAATGTGGGTGACGCCTTACAGGTCCGCCTTCCCCTCCCTTCTTTTACTCTACTTGTCCTGTTTACATTAGAAATCTTGTTCGCGACTGTAACAAATTAAAATTAGAGGCCAATTCAAAATGTGAACTTACTAAATACTATCTCCGTTTTAGTTAATGTGAACTTATTTTTTTCGGTCTGTTTAAAAAAAATTACCATTTCTAAATTTGAAAATAATTTAGCTTAAACTTCTAATTCTATCATTAACGAGAAACTTTTATACCCACACAAATACTCTAAATTCTTTTTTTGACTTATTTAGGATCACAAATTTCAAAAATCTTCATTTTTTTCTTAAACTTTGTGTCCAGTCAAACAGGTTCATATAAATTGAAACAGTATAATTTTTTGGTGAATTAAATTCATGGAAGCTACATTGGATCTACCTTTGAACAAAGTACATGCATTCCTTAATTTTTTAAGTATTTAGTATATCTTGTCTCCTAATTTAAATTGTGAGTATGTTTAGTGTCATTCGTGGCGCAATAAAGTGATACAGGATCAACGATGAACATGTCAAGAATTACAGTGGTCCCAGACTTACTCTAGTCACTATCTCTTTCTTTTTCGCATTTCTTATTTCGTACCAGCTACATGTGCTTGTCATGCATGGTAATTAGTGGCGATAAAATGATTAAAAGAAAACAGTTATCCATATATATTATTCATTAAAAAATAAATTGGACAATAAATTTTTTTAAAACGGGTCTAAGAACTATATTATTTAGTTAGAAAATGGATAACCAATAGATAACTAATGAGTTTAACTTATACATTTGTAAAGCTTCAAATTTGGGGTTCCTTAAATTTGTGAGACTAGAAATTATTCTAAAAATAATCATATTCTAGAAGTCATGAATAATATGGTTTTCCATAGTATCCCCGGTTAACCCGTTTTTTATCACATATTAAATATAAGTCGAGTCAAATAATTTATCCATTTTTACATTACTTATTTTCGATTCACCCATATCCGACCCCACCCGCTCGCCCTAATATTTGCCGCCCTAATGGTAATGATAACCCCATCCTCATATAAAGTTAGAAATGGACATAACAGATGGTGAATGATAGCTTGAATTGACATACATGATAGCAACAAGTGCTCTAGGGGGAAATAAAACTGAAAAGTGAAGTGATTAATGCTTTACAGAGTTTGGGGTTTAGCAAACTACAGGTTCCTTCAGTTCTGGCCATGCTTACAATTGATGTGATAAAACTGATCAGTTTCAGGATGAGCTGAACCGAGTGCGGAACCAAAATATGGTTTATTTTTACTAAAAATACTTAAATAAGTGTAAAAAAAAAAAGTTACCAAAGTATATATAACGCCACTAATAGTGGCGCTATAC